ATCCATGACTTAACGACTAAACAACAACAAACCTAGTAGTCTAGGATTATAGGCATAAAGAGAAAAAAAATGGCCCCTTGTATTTTGTTTCCCTTGTCTAGAACTATGTGTAGAAGTGAAAGCTAGGCAGCTGAATCAACATTCAGATTTCTAATATGTATGCTTGCCAGTGGATTGTGATTGTTCATTAGTTTGTTCCATTGAAGGATAGGGCTGAAGCACTTGAGTTTTGTTGTAAAATATACACGTACATTCTGAAAGTCCAGTTGCAATTAGATCTGCTTTATCCTGAATGAGAATTTCTTCTTTGTTCTCTGATACTTTGGGTTACTTTGGGGATGGTTCATTTGCTTGATGTCACTCATCAGAAAATGATGCAAGAGTCCATTCTTTCTAACGTTACTTGAAAGACTCTTTCTATCATATTGGTAAAGGTAAAAGTTCCCCTTGACATTTCATCCAGTCGTGTCTGACTCTAGGGCGCGGTGCTCATCCCCGTTTCCAAGCCATAGACCCAGCATTTGTCCAAAAACAGTTTCCGTGGTCACGTGGCCAGTGTGACTAGACACACAACGCTGTTACCTTCCCACTGTGGTGGTACCTATTTACCTACTTGCATTTTTACGTGCTTTCGAGTTGACAAGTGATGGGATCTCACTCCGTCGCATGGATTCGATCTTACGACTGCTGGTCTTCTGCGGTTTAACCCACAGCGCCACCATGTCCCTCTATCATATTGATGCCAAGGCAAAAGGGACATTTACTTAATAGGCAATACACAGCTATGAATGTGTTTTTGTTTACCTTAAATAACTACAAACACAGAGAAAGGAACAAGGCAGCACATGAGAAAGAGAGACTTACCTCTTCAGTTTCCTTCCACAGTGGGAACATACATACAGCTCCTCCTGGGGGCCTTAGAAGCATAGTTTTAGCACCAAGTTTTGTAGTCCTTGGGAGGGAGAGCTCTCCCTTATGATCATGGTAGGAAAGCAGGAGATCTTCCTACAAAAAGTCTTCCATTGGCAGCTGTAACCTATTTAAGGCAAAACAAGATAGTGAACCCCATGGTGCAGTACTGCAGTCAAGACTCTGCTCACAACCTGAGTTTGATCCCAGCAAGTTCTGATAGCCAGCTTAAGGTTGACTCATTCCCAAGTGTTCCTTGCATAATTACATTGCAAACAGCGCAGGGAGTGCTCCAGCACTATGGGTGGCATATAAGTTGGAGGAGGAGGAGGAGGAGGGGGAGGAGGAAGAAGAAGAAGAAGAAGAAGAGGAAGAAGAAGAAGAAGAAGAAGAAGAAGAAGAAGAAGAAGAAGAAGAAGAAGAAGAAGAAGAATGCATAGATAATCACTGTGTATTATGCAAAACCTTGTTTTGCTCTTATTTGAAATATTTTTCAGGGGGACTACTCTCCATAATACTGCCAAGGGAAGTGAGGTAGATGGCTACCAGGGATAAGGGCTCTCCAGTGATGGCACCCTGGTTTCAGAATGCCCTCCCCAGGGAAACTAACTTGTAGTTTCTTTATGATCACTTTGATGCTAGGCAAGGTTTTTTCTTCATCTCAGACCTCTTAATATTGTGGCAATGAAACTTAATTAGACTTGCCTTTTTTCATACATGAAAACAAGGCAATGACAACATTTTTTTCCTTGCATGCAAGCTAACAAGATCTTAGAGCTTTTTGCATTTGCAACATAGATTTTTGTGCAAATTCCACTTTTGCAAAGCTGAGATCGGCTTCCTTGTTGCACAGACCTTTACAATCAGAAGCATTAATTGAATTATTTGTGTCTTTTTGATCTGTCAATCAGTCATTCTGTACGTAGCACCACGGGTGCCACAGAAGTCCCTCCCCCCCACCAGAACCAGCCTGGTCTACTCACTGGGCTCTGCACCTCTCCATGTAGCTGACCACTCTGGTGAGGAGGTAGGACGATAAGCCTCCTTGCTCAGCTGTTCAATGGTTGGCTGTACAGGAAGGTGGGGCAGAGCCAGCCAGGCTACTTCCGTGGTTGGCGTGATGTCACTGCCGCTGGAGCCTGAGGAGTAGACTGGAGTGGTTCTGGGGGGAGGGAATGAATCTCCGTGGCACCTATGGTGCTGTGCTTTATATTCATATTCCTGGGGATATGAATACAAAGCTCCCATCTCTATTTGGGATGATTCACTGGGATGCAAAATGGCTCTTTGCTCTGCCTTTGGGGACGGGTACCAAGAGTTAAAATAGATTGCACTGAAGATAAGGACCTTCTAAACACCAGCCAGATTACACCAGTTTTCACAACGTGGACAGGCCCTTAGTGAACACACTTCACATCCCTAATTCTAACCCAATCTTTTTAGATGATGTGATGTATTTTTTAGTAACACCCTTTTAAAAATAGGTTGCTATTTTAAATGCTTCTTGCATTTTGTTAGAATTTTTGACCTCACCCCTGCAGCCCACTCGGGCACTGAGAATGTGGTATGGGGGTGTTTCCTTGCCTTCAGGTGCATGTTTCTAGAGTACAGAGAAACTGCAAGGGGTTTGTTTCTTTGGTTTGTTTCTTTACATTGAGAAAAGCAGGCGTGATAGCTGTGTTGGGTGCATCCTTCAGCACTGCTTGGAAATGTGCCACAATATATGGAAGGGTAAAATTGGTCACTGCAAAAGAGCCTGTTACTGAAGAACAGAACAACTGAGGAGGTAAAATACAAAGGTGGCAACAACGCTGAAAAGGGAAAAGTCTCAGTCCTTCAAACAGGGTAATGGTTTGAACCCAAAGTAGTCATATGCAGCGCCTTGACAATTCTATTTGTGTGTATTAAAAGATGTTCTACTGCCTGGACTATTACAAATTTAGTTTATGGTCTTCAGAACAGAATTATACTAATGGAATCATATTTCTCTATTATAGATATTTTGGGAATGATGATATCATAGATTCCAATTCATCTAACTTTCTACTTTTCTCAAGGTCCAGTTGAAAAGTGATGAATCAAAAACATTTGCAATGAAGATCCTAAAGAAACGCCACATCGTGGACACAAGACAGCAAGAGCACATACGCTCAGAGAAGCAGATAATGCAAGGAGCTCATTCAGACTTTATTGTGAGGTATGGTAATTTCCCTGGAGAAATGCACCCTCCAGGGTTCAAGAGCATGCTTCTCAGCTGGTCTCTTGCACTATTTAATTAAGCTGGTAACCATAACCTTTTTTTCAGTTGTACTTCTAATTGGGAATTATCCACATGGCTACAAATCCACATGGCTACAGACCTCATCCCTTGTCATAAGCACCAGTGGGTCAGAAAAGGGGAGGTTCCTGCTCACATGTAGGCTCTTGGAAAAATCTGCATTTTTGTTCATATGCAGTCCACATATGAGCAGGACCCTTCTCTGTAGACATGTTGATGTTCACATGAATAAAGCAAATGAAGAGTGAGCTTAGACTGAAAAAAGTTCCAGATTATTTATCATCTATTGTAAACATCATTAAAATTCTGAGGCATCGAAGGATGTAGAGACTGCTCATTAAGTATGACATGCAATATTAAATACTGTAATCAATTTATTTAAGTAACTTAGGATGCAATCAGATGGGGAACTTGCATTTTGGACTACTGTACTTGTGTTATGGTCCAAGTGAGAGCTATTTTCTAGCAATCCCAGGGCATACAAACAATAGCAATCCAGCTGGACTCTGAGCCATGCCTGTGGTGGACCTTTTTGTAGGGCTGCACTCTTTTGGGACTGAGTTTGAGCAATTCTCACATGGACAAAAGGGTGACTTTAAAGACAATCACTCCATTTAAATCAGCTTTTTCCAGTGCAATCAGATGTGATTGTTTCAAGGAGAATCTAAAACATAGACAAAATTCAGGCAGCTTTACTGAGGGGGAAAACTGAACACGCTTCTCTTTCTTTTTCTTTTGCACTATTGATCAAATGGCTAGTAGTGCAGTAATACATTTTGAAGTGTCAGGCACTCATTGTGGCAGTCCCCGTAGTGCTTTCCCTAAGGAAAAAGACAAAAAATATGCAGGCAGCTATCTTGATCTATACTAACAAATCAGTTCTAGCAGGTCATTTGTAAATGAGTTTTAAGTTTTAACTTTCCTTTCAAGACTAAGCCCCTGGAAATATTTTGCATTTCAACAAGGCTAGAACCTTATACAGTGGTGCCTCACTTAACAGCAATAATCCGTTCCAGGAAAATGTCATAAAGCAAAAATAAAAAGCCCACTGAACACATTGAAAACCGTTCAGTGCGTTCCAGTGGGCTAAAAACTCACCGTCCAGCGAAGATCCTCCATACGGCGGCCATTTTCGGTGCCTGTATAGTGAGGAATCCATTCCTAAACACAGCAGATAGCCATTTTAATCACCCAGTGGCCATTTTGAAGCCACCGATCAGCTGTTAAAAAACCATTGTTTTACGAAGAATCGGTTCCCAAAGCAGGGAACCGATCATCGCAAAGCAAAAAACCCCTATTTAGACCATTGTTTTGTGATCGCAAAAACGTCATCGTGAAGCATATTTGTTGTAATGCGGGGTGCACGACTGTAATGGGGTTGCAGGTAGGAGGGAAAGAGATAAAAAAATTACAAGGTGTAAATCTTTAATAGGTCATATATGAGTTTGTTGCAGTAAATTCAAGGGGAAAACCAGTATAAAATTTACAAAATAACAACAAAACAGAGTAAACATAGGAAACTGTATATAAATATTATTAGCAAAGATGCAGTATTTACAGAATTGGGTTGGTGGCTGCTTTATGAAACACCTGCATAAAATGAACATAACAAAGTAACATTATCAGTCTTTATGAAGGCATGTTAATATATTCCCCTTTGCCTTCTCACAGTTAAATAGCTTAAGCAGGATCATATAGTAGTTTCTAAAGAAGAGCCGTGATGGACAACTTGCAAATATATTGGTTATACCGATGGTTCCCATCTCTCTTTTACTAATGAAAAATAAAAACTGTGATGTCCCTCCCTTGTAATTTCTTCATGTGGGATGTATGTATCGGCTAGTACAGTATCTTATTGCTCAAGCATGGTGTGGAAGGAAGTTCACATTCGGTCTGGCAGGCTTCACATTGCTGGCCAGTTGCATGAACTGATCTTGTAACCAATGGGAGAACAGGCACACAATGAGAAGCCTACTAGTGTGTGTGTGGAGAGGGTGCTAATATTATTTTCTTCCCATTGCTTGTTTAGGCAACAGGCAACTAGCCATTAATTTTACCTTACATTTCTACCTGAGACATCATCTAGATGTAAATGCGTTCTGAATTCTGACTCAGTTCCTATAGATAGTTGGACTTCTATTACAAAGTTGAAAAAAGTTGCTTTTCTGTTTTTTTCCTTTAAAAACAAAAACCCTTTAGATTGATAAGACAGTATTATAAATCTTGAAAGATTCTGTCAAAATGCTGTGATTTCTAGTAAGTATCTAGAAAATGTTGCTTTTTATATCAGTCAGTTACTTTGGAAATTTAGCTTTGTTCATACTTGTTACTAAAAAGTATTTCTCACTTCCAACCTCCACTGAGAATTACTGTAACAGTAAAAAATTATGGGCAAAATTATTTCCTGTTACTTCTGGAAATAATTCCAGATTTGTTTTAAGGAAGAAATTATAAGGAAAGTGACAAAATGAATTAACACAGGAAGGAAAGGTGGGGAAAGAGTGTGTTGAAGTATATTCAGGCATTTGTTGAGTGACCTATTTCCATTGCAGTCAAATACAGGTTTGCTGAGAAGTGAGTCCTGCTAATTTAGTGAGATGTATTCCAAGTTAGTTTAGGAATCTACAGTCTCAGGTGCTCATAAATGGCACAATTATACAACTCTTCAGAGACTCACACTTCAAACAGCTCTTGTCCCCAGACAGGAAGATTAGTGTTATACCTATCATGCAATATGTAAATTGTTTCACTTCCACATCTCAAATTCCAGTACGTACTCTAATTACTGTTTTCTTTTTCCTCCAATTACAGGTTATACAGGACATTCAAGGATAGCAAATATTTATATATGTTGATGGAAGCCTGTTTAGGTGGAGAGCTTTGGACAATTCTCAGGGACAGGTAGGAGAATTTTGTACGGTTCTTCTTGACGTGAAATGAAATTCATCTGGTGTACTGAATGTGGTCACATGGATGATCACTCTGTAACTCACAGCTAAATTTTGTGAATTTAAAATCCTGGCTGAAAGCCAGATTCACTTATCACTGGTCCTGGTTCTTTGGAAAGGCATTACTGTATGCCTTTCCAAAGGCACAAATATTGTCCTCTAATTGTATATGATAATACGGGAAGGAGCATGACTTAAATGGATCACCTCCCAATAAATTGCATCCTATCAAGGACCTCTAAAATATCCACTTTGCACTGATCGGTTTGAGACTAGACTGGTAGCAAGAAACTGAATACTGTGGCCAAAGACTATTATTTTTACCATGCACAGAAGCAAAATCAAACTATTGTAATGAGGTGCCATGGTGGCTTCCACAGTTTCCTTCCATATATTGTAAAAAGCTTGTGAATAATAGTGCAGGATTTTCCTAACAATCAGTATGTGACTGAAGATGAATTTATATACACATTAACTTTCTCTTCACATGATAATTTCTTTCCAAGCTTCTTCCTAGTTAACAGTTTACTACTAGACCAACAACAGCTTTTTAAAAGGCCGTGGTGGATCCAAATTTTGTTATTTGGATGTGGTTTGCAACAATAAGGCAAAGCAATTAAATACTTAAAAATAAACAAGGTGGTACAGATATGAAGGAACCCTCATGGATTAGATACCTGAAACAAAGCATTCATATCACTTCACATAACTTCAAACATATTTGTTTTCCAGTGGAACCCGTGGCCAGTTATAAAGTCTGGAGTAATCAGATTAATAAACCTTGAGCAGTGCATAACCAAGTATGAATCAACAACACACTACAACAATACAATACAAAAATGTACCTGGGTGTAAGTTCTATCAAATGCTGGAACTCAGTTCTGAGTAGATGTATAAACAGCTCTGCGAGAGCATAAATCAGTGATACCTGTTCTTTTGCAAGTATATATAGTACCTGAAATTATGAAAATGAAAACAAACAATTGTAACCAACTTCAGATTCATTCATTCATTCAGTTTGTATCCCACTCCTATTAATGTCACAGTACTACTCTGGGTGGGTTACAATCTCATAAAATAGAAAACACAAATGAAAATAGAAATATTAAAACTGATAACAATAACCCTAAAAAGCACTGACAAATCTCAGAGTGGATGGAGGGAAAGAGGAGAGGGAAGAGGAGGAGGGAAGAGATTTTAAAAGGGGGGGAGGAAGGTGGTCAGCTGAGGTTGTTGTGGAAAGCCACCCTAATTAAAGGAAGCCAATGTCATAAATATTAATAGCATACTAAAATAAAGCAAAGAGAATGTGATAATGATTTGTCCACAATCGTTCTTTGCTGTTCTTGGTTTATTTCCTGTTTTTCCCTTATAAATTCAAACTTTTAGTAAAGATTTTGTAAAAACAGAAGATCCAAATAACCAATTGCTAATGTGTTTTTCTTAAAGAAAACTGTTGTATGCAAAAGCTTCTGAAGTGCTTTCTGAAGTATTTGCCTCCCACATTTATGGTATATACTGCCATCTAGCTTTAAAAAGGATTTATCTTTTATTTCCTTGAGCTATGAATTAATAATTGAAACAGATAGCATTCAAACACTTTTTTCTCTACCCTCCCCCCCAGAAAAGTACAAAAACCCTTACATTTTAATAAGTTGAAATTAGGAAATCATGTTTCTAAACCACTGGTGAACCAGAAGTGGTTATGAAACCACTTCTAGTTCCAGAAGAAACTATGAAACTCATGATACAAATCTGAATAAAACTTTACAAGAACATTCAAAATGTGACTTCAGTATATATCTTGAGGGACAATTTATATCACATATTCTCTTAATGATTGCCTAATTTATTCTTTATTCTTCCCAAACTTCAGCCTAGTATAGAGGTTTGAAATGTTTATTAAGAAATGAATTTAGGGAATATGGCAATAAATACATTACTATCAAAAGTCTGCAGTTGCATTATTTAGTTTGAAAAACCATTCTGCAGCTGGCCAGCAAAATTCTAATTTTTGCTGACAAGAATGAATATAATTGGTTCCAGTTAGTTTCACAGCAGACAGCAATAGATAGCAGTAACTTTAGTTTTGGTGATATGCCCTAGTCTCCAACAATTTTTGTATTAAAATAGGGACATATGCACATTTGTAAGGAGTGACTGACCAACAGGATGGTGTGGCCATGAAGTTGTGCCTAGACCACCCAAAGAAAGTGGTCAAATGCAAGTTATTTTGAGGAGGAACCTGCAAAGCAGCAGTATGTGAAACCAAGTTAAATTTGCTACTGCTCTGGAAATGGAATAACAGTGCAATCATCCTAGACAAGTCTCGTCAGATATTAATTTCATTAGGGTTCTGTGGGATTTACTCCCAGGAAAGTGTGAACAGACTTGCACCCTATATCATCCATGACTTTTCCCATAAAACTCAAACTAGCAATCTGAAGCTGCAGTCTACAAAAGCTTGTGACAAAACTTACTCTTTAAGATGCTCCAAGTTTCTTTGATTCACTGTTGTTGTTATGTAGGGTTTTTTTTCCTGCAAGAGATCTCCTTGAATGGTAATTCTCTGTGTAAGGAAAATACATACAGTGGTGCCTTGCTAGACAATTACCTCGCAAAATGGTTTTTCGGAAGATGATGGGTTTTTGTGATCGCTATTGGTCCATGCTTTGCAAGACAGGGTGTGTTTTTTTGGACCTTTTTTTGCAAGACGACGATTTTGACGGCTAGGTCTGCTGGGACCTTTTTTTCGCAAGACGACGATTTTGACGGCTAGGTCTGCGCTTCGCTAAAGGGTTTCTCTATGGGCAATTTTTTCAAGACGATGACTGTTTTCCCCATTGAAACGCATTAAATGGATTTCAGCGCATTCCAATGGGGAACCGCAGTTCACAAGACGATGTTTTCGCTAAACAGCAATTTTCACGGAATGAATTAACGTAGTCTTGCGAGGCACCACTGTATTTCAAAACAAAGTGGCAGAACCGGTATTTCCCTCGTAATACTTCCCTTCCAAGTTTTGTATCCACTTCTTAAAACTAATTGTTTTAACTGAAAAACTCCTACCTTAGGTGTTGTTTATTTCACTTCTAAAAGCTACATTGCTGCACGAAAAGGGCTTCCTAATAAACACAAATATATCACTTCAGGGTGAAAGCCATTTCACTTATTAAGACATAGGCCTGAACACTGAATGAACAGTTCAAAGCACAATACCCTAGTCTCAGTACAAATAAATGTGGAGTAAAGCCTTCCAAAACACCATTATAATTCAGCATTGCTTGGAACCTCTTTCAGGTTAGACTAAGGCTGCAGTTACATTGGCAATAAGAACCGCATTTAAGCATCATGTAAATTGATTTAGATTTTATCGTTCACACAGTGCAAGGATGAAACTGATTTATATGGGCTGCAAAGTCTTTTTTCCCCAGCTGACAGCCAGGGGCTTTTTAAAATGCTTTGCTTCTAAAATTGGTTCAATTCAATGCAGTTTTGTGGAAATGGGTCGATTTCAGCAGTGTGGACGCCAAAACTGGTTTAAATCACCAGAAATAAATTGGTTTCCGTTCAGTGCATGTGAACAGGGCTACTGGTTTAAATATCATGTGACCTGAACCTGGTTTTTAAAAAGTCAGAACAGAAATTGATTCAAATTGCAAGTGTAACCATAGCCTAAGATTCACAGAAAGCATCTACTTCAATAAGCTTGTAATTTATTTTCTCCTCTTAGCTTTTACCAACTCCTCCTTTTCTCTGTGTAGCACCCAGGGCAACTTCCAGAAGCTTCTGGAAAATAAAAAAAACCTGACATCCCAGTAAGATGCATACTGCTTCTCCATCAAGTCTGTTGAAGCAAAAACAACAGAGTGCTTGGCACCTTAGATAGCAATAATTTTATTGCAGAACCTAGAGGTTTTTACATTGCTTTGCATGGGTATTTTGTCCTGTTACACCCCCACCCCAACCTATAGCTATTGTGTTTGCCCACAACTCTGCAAAACAGACCACAGCTGTCTGGTGGCAAGGTAGAGCTGATCAGAACTGCAACATTTACAGAGAACTTGGGGGTGGATATATTACTTTATATTATCAAGCTATCACCTTGTTAGTCAAACCACAAATGGTTTCACTCATTTGCTAACTACACTGGAGGGCAGTAGCAGGTTCAATGTAATATTTCATCACAAGAAAGTGATGAGACCAAATGTTTTTCCCCCTCATATTTCTGGTTCTGTGAGGGTTTTACGTTGTTAAAAATGAAGGCTTGGGAATTTGGACATTTCATGGGGAAAAGAGGACTCACCTGGACTTCCCAGGAAAATCCTGTTGTTAAAAATGAAGGTCTTGAGGATTTGGACATTTCATGGGCAAAGGAGGAAAGCAGGACTCACCTGGACTTCCCAGGAAAATCCTGAGAAAATTGAGGCAGTTGAATATTTTCATAATAACCTTGTATTATCAGCACACCTGTTCATTCTCACTGGGATAAACGAAAATGAGTGCAACACATTTGGACTTGCCTTTAGCATTTAGAAAAAGCCATGTGCCTTCAGCAACTAAACAAACAGGCAGAGAAATATGATTCCATCATCACCCTACAGCTGTTTCACAGTATGGTTTCTGTGGCAGCCACTGAGCTGCTACAGTCAAGTCATTAAACACATGAAAGATGCTTTCCTGACAATGGAAACCTTTCAGGTGGTTTCATACACATAATTTGCTGGAAATGGTTGAAATACGATTTTCAGTTTCTAAGACCTCATGCTGTTAGTGGCGAGCAGTGCAGTGAACTTAAAATCATGAATGTATTCAAACAATCTACTGTGCAGCCTCAAACCATGAAAATCGAGTCCTTCTTACCTTGCGGCCGAAGTTGGTGTCTTCCTTCGTTATGAGACAATGTCTCTGGTCTGTGTATGCCAAATGGTTCTGTTCAGACTGTTACAACATTAATACTGTCCCATTGGTTTTGATCCTGGACCCTGCCAATTAGATTTGAGGTTGTTAATATTAGTCTCTGTGACCCTGATGTGGGTGTGATCCATTGAAGTATGACTAAGTTGTCATCCTGCTTATTGAACAGTTACATAGTATTGCTAAAATAAAGTGTCTGAGATTATCAACATTTGAAGGGTTTGCATGAAGCATAAATATAAAGAATAATTAATTTCTCTCTCCCCCCCCCCACTTCTTTATAGAGGTTCATTTGAAGATTCTACAACCAGATTTTATACAGCATGTGTGGTAGAAGCTTTTGCCTACTTGCATTCCAAAGGAATCATTTATAGGGACCTCAAGCCAGAAAACCTCATCCTAGATCATCGAGGTTATGCCAAACTGGTGAGTGGTCAGGATGTTCTTCTTCCAGAAAGCAATAAAATATTGTGTTGTCGAGCTCAGTGCATTGTAGCTAAAGCTTTGTGAACTACAGTGTTCTCTCTAATAGGTTTATAATGGCCATAAAATAGTGCTTCTGGATGAAAGACAATATTCAGCACTGTAGTTCAGGACAAGTGAGTGGAGAGAGAAGTTTATAGAAACAAATTAACCATACTGTTTCTGAGTTGCAGATGAACAAAAAACAAAGTTCGTTTGACCTTATCCTCAGAATTTTCTAAACTTCTTTCACATGTATCCAATATTTGAGAAAGATGCTAATCTTCATTTTATCTGAAAAAAGAACAAAAGTATTATTGCCATGCTTCTTATCATGCTTTTGGTATTACTTCAAAAACTGTATTATTTCTCCCAAATGTTTTTGTATTAGTGCTGATTAAAAATAATGAAGATTCCATTCCATTCATCCTGCAAACCTCCCTAAATTCATGTGGGTAAACTGAAAAGGGACATGATGGTGCTGCGGGTTAAACCGCAGAAGCCTCTGTGCTGCCAGGTCAGAAGACCTGCAGTCGTAAGATCGAATCCATGCAACGGAGTGAGCTCCCTTCGCTAGCCCCAGCTCTCACCAACCTAGCAGTTCCAAAGCATGTAAATGCAAGTAGATAAATAGGTCCCACCACGGTGGGAAGGTAACGGTGTTCCGTGTCCAGTCGTGCTGGCCACGTGACCACGGAAGATTGTCTTCGGACAAAACACTAGCTCTATGGGTTGGAAACAGAGATGAGCACCATGCCCTAGAGTTGGACATGACTGGACAAATTGTCAAGGGGAACCTTTACCTTTACCTTAAACTGAAAAACTGGCACTGAATTCTGTTCCTTTGAATTCTAGGTCAGAGAGAGTTAGACAAGTGTTTCTGTGGATTACAGTCCTATCCACTGTGAGGAATGTGAAAAACATGATGAAATGTGGGGAGGACAATAAGTGCTGACGTCTCAGTTATGTCTCTGAAACCCTAATAGCTATTTAATTGTGACATTATTGTAAATATTATTCATCGCGAAGAAGTAACAAACAGGCCAAAATCCAGTTGGCAGTCCCAGCTAAAATAGAATAGTGAATTAACACAAATCTAAATCACACCGATTCACCAAGTTTATTGGAGTTGTGACTATCAAGCATGCCCCTTACCAATGGAACCTTGGAAAAACTAAACATTAGGAGGATGCATAGAAGCCATTGTTTCCCATTATTTGTACACCTCAGGCTTAGTTCCTAGATATATAATAATATATAATCCTTGACCGTTTATACAGTTGATTCATTTTTTTCAACCTGAACAATGAGAATTACTTTGGTTTTTACAGATCTTATAACTGAAAAGATGTTCCTTCAGGGTTGTACTTTTATTTTCTGTGGTGACCCAACATTCAATCAGCATCCTTATTCTGAGATTTTTCCCATATAACCTATCCTTCTGAAGTGGTTTATTCTAAGCTAAACATCTTCTTCTTCTCCTTCTTAAGCCCTTGTTTCTGCATAACTGCTCTTTATTTTCTCTTCCTTGATGGGTATGTGAACTTTCTTTCACAGGTTGATTTTGGCTTTGCAAAAAAAATAGGCTTTGGAAAAAAAACATGGACTTTTTGTGGAACTCCAGAGTACGTAGCCCCAGAGATCATCCTGAATAAAGGTCATGACATTTCAGCAGACTATTGGTCACTGGGAATCTTAATGTATGAGCTTCTGACTGGCAGGTATGGGCATTGAATTGGAGCTAGTGATAAAAATAGATCAGCAAATTAGAGAATATTTCTGCCTTTGTCACTTTGATTAGAAGCACAGGATTTCAGAGCTGGCAAATGCTATGATGACCACACTCATAAAAAGTCTAAAAATTTACTGTTAAGACTGCTCATTATTATTTTGGTTCACAGTCAGCATTCTAATGAATAAAAGACTTGGAACAGCCAGCATAAGAGGGAAAGCTGAACAAGGATACACAAGGAGATATATTTAAATCCTGTGACTCTCTGTTTCTAGCTTCTCACTTTTGTACAGTAATATGCTGTGCTAAACCACAACACACGTTGTGACTTCATGGTGATGTGCAGAACTGTTAGGCTCAGTGCATTGCAGCCAGTTACACAAAGTTTAGAAGAGATGGAGACCCTGAATTTTCTTCATTCACTGTATGTTTTCATATTCTCCTCTTCAGTCCTCAAAGGGGATCTGAGGGTAGACCAACAAAATATGAACTATAAAAGTAGCATACAGATGTATTAGAAACAGTGGCTGTGTGTTCTGTGCTGTCAACTTGGAACCAAATTATGATCTCAATAGGACTTACTTAGAAAGTGATATAATTAAGGAGTGGTTTGACCAGTTCCACTCCCCCACTGAGTTTTTCCATGTCCAAGTGGGAATTCAAACCCTGTTCTCCAGAGTCCTAGACCATCACTCTATCCACTAGACCACACTGGGGATTGAAAATAGTAGAGTAGCATAAAAACAACTTTTTAAAAACCTGAGTAGTATCACACAGGACAAAATGCTAACCTGAAAGAAAACTATGGGCAAATAAGAAAGACTTCACTAAAAGCCAATGCGAAGTCAACTTCCCACAAAAGTATTCCAGAACTAAAGTAGTACTATTAAGAAATCCCTCACTTCTGAAGGCATGAAGACTTATATCAGATTGTTCAAAGATCATAGTGTCAGTTCAGCCCTAACATTATTCCAAAAATTATCACTTTAAATGTTTAAATTTTAAATGGCTAAGAAAAATATCTCTCTAGTTGTACAAGTATCTCGATCTAGCTCAGGGGTTTTAAACTCAATTTACCTGGGGGGCGCTAGAGACAGAGTCTGGGTGAGCCTGGGCTGCATCAGATTTTCCACCAAGCGGAGCAAGAGCCCGAGGAAGCTGCCCAGGAGTTTCCTTAGCCGACAGACAGGTGGGCTGGCTGGCAGGCTGCTATTCTGGATGGAGGGTGCAAGAGGTGCTGTCTTGGGAGAGAGCTGGCGAGTGAGGCAAGGCTTTTGTTTTTTACTCTTGACAGCAGAGGATATGTGGGCGCTTTGGGGGGGCAGGCAAGGCGAGGGCCACAAACTATCATCTGGGGGGCCACAAATGGCCCCCGGGCCGCATGTTTGAGACCCCTGATCTAGCTCATCTGAAGAAGTTGTGTGACCCCTTTGCAAAATATTTGAAAGAGTAATAATATAAGCATGTCCGAGTTGATTTAATTCTAAGGAATCCAGCCACAGAATTTTAAAGTTAAACATGGACTATCTCAAGGAATTTAAGTTTAACAGTCCTGGGTTCAAATCACTTATGTGTCAAGAATCCATTTCATTTCCCTCCTCAGCCTCAGTTTGCCAGGATAAAGTGGGATTGCTGACAACCTCCATCACAAAATGATTAATTCCTATAAAGCACTTATAGATTAAGAAGTGCTGCAGAAGCAAATTATTCCAGATATTTTGAACTTTCCCCAGTATATTCAAAATTCTATGGAATTTGGCCAGTGAACATTCAAGTGTTTGTGAACTTTAACCTTGATGACTATGTTTTGACAGAAATACACGATGAGGACAAAATTTGTCATTGTTGTGTGAGTTGTCATTTAATTCATCCAATATAAATTTAAATACATTGTTTAAATAAAGACCATGATAGCCCTAATTATTTCGCACTATCAAGCTACAGCTTATAAATCATCTTCGAGAGATATTATCACCCCAATTCATCCTTGATTAGGTTGGATTTCTTACACTGCAAGTGGGAAGGCTTTGGCCCTCTATATGTTGATTAAAACTCCTAAATTCTCCAGCAAGTGGTCACATTAGCTCAGGCTTATGCAAGTTGGAAACTGGTAAGTTATGGAAAGTGACAGATTCCCTGCCTTGTTTTAGAATGTCAGTCAATTCAGACATTCTTTGCGCTCTTGAGATCAAAGTGCAAGGTCAGGGCCTGTGAGGGTTCCTCCACCACAGTATTTAAAAAATCCAGGAAATTTCTTCTCCCAGGAAACACAGGTATGCCAATTACTGGGAGAGATCCTATAAAGACTTCAGATAGTACAACAGGCCTTGTGACCTCCCCATTAATCCCACTCACTCCATGTGGCAAAGAGAAATAGATAGGAACGTGATCCATTAAACAGAATTAACATGAGAGGTGCATTCAATAATCTGCATGTATTAAATGTTTTCAGTAGGCAGCAGTTTCTATCAACACTCCTCGTTATGAACAATTGAGTACTAGCTCTTGAAACATACAGGAAACATGGCTGTGAAAGACAGTATTTCAGATGAGAGGGTGTCATAAGCCATCCTATCCATCAGTCTAGTTACAGTCTGGTATAATCCATTTTTGTGCAGAGACTGAAACCCTTATGGGGCAGACTCTTGCTTGTTTTGGTTGTCCAGTGTTATGTTGTGTGAGCAGTTACATTTGTTTCTGACCTTGTGCAGTGAGGCATTCATCACCTCACCATGCAAATGTGTGCCCCCTCCATTTCAACTGGGCTATCTCTGATTGTGCAATAACAAGCTGGAAATCATGCAGGGCTCTACCAGGAGAGTGCTCATACTGACCATAGGTGTTATGCTCACATTGTAGTATTGGCTCTGCTGTATACACCATTAGCTGTACCCTGGTCTCTGGACATGACAAGGTGGAAATCATGCAGGGCTCTACCAGTAGAGTGCTCACACTGACCATAGGTGTTATACTCACATTGTAGTATTGGCTCTGCAGTGTACCATTAGCTGTACCCTGGTCTCTGGACATGGGTACATGCCCCATGTCATCAGCAGCCCTTGAACTGGCTGCTGATCTGCACTGGATCTGAAGCAATTTTGTTCCATTCATTTCAGTGGGAGGATATTTGTAGAGAACCAAGGGAGATAGGGGGAAACAGAAATGCTTCGCTTCCATTTTTCTGCCCTGCCAGGTTTCAGATTCCCTGGAATCTCAGATATTGGTATCTTCTGTGATGACAGATACGATTGCTTTGCCACTCTACAATTGTAAAAACAATTGCATTGCGATTGTTCTCATGGCAAATAAGAGAAATCTCACCAGTGCCATTTCTATTACTGTGCAATCTGCGATGTAATGAAGAAGTCCATGATTGCTCAGCTGTGCCTAAATGGACTCATAGGACCATTGATTGGCCGTGTTTAAAATGGGAGTAGTATTAGTCACAGAGTCCAGTTGCCCAGAGCCAATGAAAATATTAATCATATAATTGGGGAAGGAATTGTAAAACTCAAAATATAGCACAATTTTGCTGAGATTGTGAAGGAATTTGTTGTGAAAGAGTATTTGCTCATACCACTACCCTATTTTAAGTGATGCTATTTTGAAACAATTTTTAACTTCGCTTTTTGTTTTTAATTCCATTTTCCAGTCCACCATTCTCAGGCCCAGACCCCATGAAAACATACAACATCATACTAAGGGGGATTGACATGATTGAATTTCCAAAGAAGATTGCCAAAAATGCTGCTAACCTAATTAAAAAACTATGCAGGTAAACACTTAAATACCTCAGTAGCTTTGTCAAAAAGGGAATATAATAATACTTCTTGGTGTTTTGATGGGCTCTGTTGTTCTTTTTATTCTTATGTATTTATTGCCAACATATTTTACATGATTCCTGAGTAATTCAATAACATTCTGTTCAACTAACCTTTGTTATTTGTCAAATTAATGAGAAGACACAAAAGGGGTATATACACTATATTTAAAGATGTTGTTCCAAAAAGCTACAAAGACAACCAATTTTTCCGTAAACAGTATCCCAGATTCAAGGCAGGGTGGGAGGAGTCTAACAATGAATGGGCAATATTTTTTTCGAACTGCAAACTACTATTGTAATGTTAGCCACAGTAAACAAATTGACTACTATTTCTCTATAGCAATTTTCTATGAAGTTCTTATGGTAGTTAAATACGGTAATACACTTAAAGGTTCACTAGTTCAACTTCTGGCAAAAACACCACACCAGTCAAATTTACTTTTTTGGCAGTTCCAGCCTTCCTGTCCACACTGCCATCATCTATCACATTTTGTTCTATATGGTATATCTTTTTAATCTTATACTGTAAAATATTGTTGATACTGTCTTGAACAAATTTTCTGTTGTGTTTTACAGATAATGCTTTCCCCCACTCCAAGTTTTTTTTATTCTGACTTGTAGCCACTGTAAATTGTTTGTGAGAAGAATGGCAGGATATGGCCTTTAAAAGTAAATATATTAGTAAAGGAAGGACATAAAATATAAGTATGATTTCTGATTTGTTTGCTTTTAAACAGGGACAACCCATCGGAAAGATTAGGTAACTTGAAAAATGGAGTCAAGGATATTCAAAAGCACAAGTAAGTACACCTCAAACGTGAGATATTTTTTGCCATTTCTCTAGTGCCATCAGTGCATTTTATAGATGATGTGAGAAACAACAAGATCTTGCCCCAGCGATCTTACAATGTAAAATGCAGCTGAGGAAAAGAAAGATGACAAAAGTAAGAGCAATCAGTGAGCAATGTGTTTCCTCAGTAAGGGGCTTAAAACTACTTTGCTCTGTGTGTGCTTCTTGATAGGCAGGAACCATTTTTGTACAAGTGCAAATGTTTGTTTCAAGCCAAACACGTATTCCTTTCTAAAATTCTATTCACACTGAGGGCACCATGGATGAAAGTGCTGGGGGGGGGAGGATTTGCCCACCTAGAGTCCTAAGCTTTTTATTTTAGTATTTATAGACTACTATATTATGTTGTAGTTTTTCCCCTCTCTCTGGGAAAAGGGCCTGAGAGTCCCCTGGGAGGTTCCTGCGAAGAATTCAGTGGATTTCATCTCTGCACCCACAACTCCTGTAACAGTATGATATTAGGGACCAAACCTAGTGAAATGCACAGATTGCATTTAGAAATGGAGCTTCCGTAAATGGTAAAAGGCCTGTATTTCTCATTGCACAAATGTCCCTCACCTCACAATTTTTAAATTAGTTTTGTGATTGCTCATCAGGAAGTAAACACAGGTTTCCTTTGCAAGACTAATTGTTCAGGTGTGAGCTCTGAAGAAATACTCTTACTAAAATACACACATGCTGTCAGCTTCCAAATACTGTATGGGTTGGACATTTTGACTAGTTTCACTCTGGATAGTGTTTCAACTATCCTAAAATGATTATGTGCAAGGTTAGTTAACACAGCTGTTTTCAGTGATGGCTCATGGACTAGGATGAAGTGCACCTCATCTCAAATTTTGGGGTGGTGAGGCACCTCCTGCTCCAGTCACAAGCCACCTTTAGTGTTGTTGGTTTTTTAATCTTTTAAGACCACCCATGCAGGAGCGGTCCTTTATCCACATTATGTATCGCAACTGAGAGACAAGATGGTTTTGCTTATGATAAAATCAGATTTTATCTTGCTGGTAGTGTATCTTTGTCCACATATGCTTAAAGAAAACATTCATCACTATTAATTTAGCGTTATTCTCTTACTTAGTAAAGGAACCCTGCATCTCCTTCTGTCTAAGTGTATAATACACTCAAAAATTTAGATTAAATTCTGTGAAAATGTCATATTCTTCTTTGGTGTTTCTGTGCAACCCAAACATATCTGTACAGCATCTGTTTTGGGAAACATGTGGTTCTTCTGTTCTGTTCATTTTCTACAATGAGAGCATCTAGAAAGCACTGCTTAGAGAAAAAGAAAAGAAAAGAAATATTTGATTTTTACCATCTATCTTATTATTTATCTTCCCCTAGCGTTAATTCCATCTGTGTTGCCATTTGTTTTGTTTTTCTCAGTTCCTTTGGCACTTATTCTGGGTATCTCTAGCCCAGGAGGTTTCCTTTCTTCATTAGCATTTGTCTTGCAGTAACAACTTGTCACTGATGGATGGGCATACCCTTTCCCTTCTCCAGCAGGGAGAAATCATTTTATGGCCGCACACAAACACTGTCAGGTCCTCACCAACCACGCAAAAAGAGGTCAGGTATCCCACAGGGAGGCCCCTCTTTGTCAGAAGGCACTTACATCAGAAACCAACAATTTGACATTCTGTTCCCCTCTGGTGGCCTCCAGTAGCCATGAATTTTGAGTCGGGGTAACCTGACAATAATAAGGCTGACTAGCCTAGTGAAATGAAAAATAGGTAAGGTGTATTACTTGTAAATACTGTACTTAATATCCATTCGGCTTCACGTATGTATACAGGCAGGGATGTGGTGGCGCTGTGGGCTAAACCGCAGAAGCATGTGCTGCAAGGTCAGAAGACCAGCAGTCGTAAGATCGAATCCACCCAATGAATTGAGTTCCCATCGCTTTGTCCCAGCTTCTCACCAACCTAGCAGTTCGAAAGCATATAAATGCGAGTAGATAAATAGGTACCACCTTGGTGGGAAGGTAAAACGTTATTTCCTAGTCACGCTGGCCATGTGACAACAGAAACTGTCTTCGAACAAGCGCTGGCACTATGGCTTGAAAAACAGGATGAGCACCCCGCCCCTAGAGTTGGACACAACTGGACTAAAAATGTCAAGGGGAACCTTTACCTTTACCTATGTATACAGGCAAGGTACATGAAGCCCAATAAATATATGGGTAGTCCATCCCTGCTCTGCAATGGGAGGCCAGTGTAATGTTTGGAGTGGTTATGCCTCCATTTGACAAACACTCATGATCTCAGACAAAAAAAAAGCAGTCAATCTGTTGTTGCAAAACTCAGTACACATTTACCTTGCTGCTGGAAAACATTAAAGGGTAAGATTGTATCACAGATGTGTGCCTCAGCTGAGATTCAGAGCCCCGTGCTAGAGACCTACTGATTCTATTATCATAACAGTTCTTGTTTGACTTTGGGGATCATTGTTTAGAAAGTGGAAATGGAAATACAGATGCCCAAGGTAGGCGTGTTGGAAGCCACGTATAGCAGTAATTATGAGAACTGAACCGCTGGTTGGCATGCATATATCTTGTATCTGTTTGTATCTTGAAAAGATCAGGAATGCAGGTCGAGAAAAGAAATCTGTAGCTGTGTGACCTAACCCAATAATCTCTGCAAGCCGCAGAGAGACTCAATTTAAAATCCCACTACCAAGGAAAAGAAACTTTCTAAAATGTCTGATTCTCCGTATAACTATTTGCTGTTGCTATTTTCTTCCATGCCTCTCTCTCTCTGCTGTAGCAGTCCAACTGCTCATTTTCTTTCCTTGGAATGTGCTTCTTTTTCAAAGCTTAGCCTTCTGTGGACTACTGCAATTTTGATACTAGTTTCATCTCCTTTATCCCATCCTAGCCATTTCTTCTTTCTTCTTTACTTTTCCTCCTTGTTTGAGTCCGTTCGGTAAAACTGTGTACAGTATATACAGATCCTTCTGTAATGTTCAAACCTAAATGTTACGTACAAAACAGTAATAAACAAACGATAATTGAATTTAATATTTCTGCCCTGCCTTTCAAGGCAAAGCCTCCGAAGGTAGAACACAAAGTGAAAAGTTAGAACAATAAACTATTCATATTGATGCCACTGAGCTAAAAATGCCAATAAAAATACAGAACCAACCAGAAACCCAGTAACGAGTACATATCAGCATGTTCAGGATTTTAAATGTTATTCATTTATTAGCTTGTTTGATCCTGCTACAATGGTCCCTGAGCCCTATTATACCCTTGTCTAATTTTCTCTTTAGGTGGTTTGAAGGCTTTAACTGGGAAGGTTTAAGAAAAGGTACGCTGACACCTCCTATAATACCAAGTGTAAGTACAGCTTTTATTCCATTTTGTGTCAGTAATTCAAACAGTGAATGAAGAAAATGCTGGAGATATTTGTTAGATCTAAACCTCCATGTGTGCTTATGGAGCTCCCATGAAAGGAGGCTCCTTCTACCTTTGTTTTTTAGGATAAGCAGTGATTACTCATGTGTAGAGCTCCCACCAGTGTTGAAGCCCATATTCATACCTTAGGAACATACACATGCAGAGGTCGATTCCAGTTCCTTTTTATAGTTTGGCACCTGTTCTTTTCCCTTTGCCAATTCACTTTTTGCCTTCCTTCTTTCTCTCCTTCCTCTTGTCTCCCCAACATAGTCTTTATTACATCTCCAACATAGGTCCCAGCTCCTTGCCAACCAACTTGCCAGTTTTCTACAATCTTACACCAATGCCCAGGGCTCTGCTATAACTTCCAGACAAATTACTTTGTTTAGCGTATCAAACTTATTTCATACTCACAAACTGCATGCAATGGAGTGAGCTCCCGTTGCTTTGTCCCAGCTCCTTGCCAACCTAGCAGTTCGAAAGCATGTAAATGCGAGTAGATAAATAGGTACCTTCTCGGTGGGAAGGTAAAACGGCGTTCCCTAGTCACGCTGGCCACGTGACAACGGAAACTGTCTTCGGACAGGCGCTGGCTCTACAGCTTGAAAAGCGGGATGAGCGCCGCCCCCTAGAGTCGGACACGACTGGACTAAAAAATGTCAAGGGGAACCTTTACCTTCCCTCTTATTTGTGGTAGCTAGCTGGATAGTTCAGTAGTTTAGGTATCTGGCTGTAGAGCCAGAGGTAAGGAGTTCAATTCCCCACTGTGCCTCCAAGAGAAAAGCCAGCCTGCATGGCCTTGGGCGCAACCTGCACAGTTCTAGGGCACTCCCAGAAGAAGAGATTGGTAAACCATTTATGTGTATTCCTGGAAAGGGTAACTTCTTTCATTGTAACATTGTGAATGCTTCCCAATGTTGCGTTTTATTGGTGACTCATCCTCAGAATCAGAGGACTGGTAGTCCACATTGTATGTAATCAGGATGTCTTTAATTCTGCCCACACACATATCAGATGATCAGCACTAGAGATGGGGACAAATATAAAAACGGATCAGTTTTTCTGACTAATATAGCTGATTCGTCATATATTCGTCGATCCGTATTTGTAAAATTTTAAATCAGGACGAATATGGCTTGACAAATATTTCCTAGGTTTTATTCATTGATCCGTTCTTATTCATCTATATTCATTACCCCTTTTGGGGCCTCTCTGAGCTTGCTGCCACCAATTCGAAGCTCTGGCCAATCAGGACAGAGATCCTGGATTGGCATGTCTGGCAGCCAATAGCGCTGCTGAAAGGTGTATCTACTTTTACAGATGCTTCATATGAACTTATCCCGTCCAGCCGCTCCCCACTTCTGTTCATGCTCTCTAGAGTGAGAACAGTTGCTGATCGCTGGCTTGCTGGTGCTCTTATGGTTTCGCTTTTGCAGTAGCAAAGCAGAGACTTATAGTTTTCTTTTTCATCATCAGTCATCATCAATGGTTGTTGTGGGTTTTTCGGGCTCTTTGGCCGTGTTCCGAAGGTTGTTCTTCCTGACGTTTTGCCAGTCTCTGTGGGCGGCATCTTCAGAGGACTGGAGTAGGAACTCTGTCCATGCTTTGTTGCTGTTTGTTGGATAGTTGAGTATTTATAGCTGTGGGAACAGCTTTTGTCCTTTTTTGGAGATAGGGTGAGCAGTGTGTTTTTGTTGTGGATGTATTGTTGTGATAAGGGGGGAGGGATTATCTGTCACTGTGGTTGATGGGTATCTTTAGCTGGTCTTTTTTGTGCAATGATCCCTGGTCCTTGTGGCTGGGTAGAGTTTGTTGACCTTTTGCACGCTGTTTTTTTCAGTATTGGGAGCCAGGCCTTATTTATTTTTAGGCCTTCCTCTTTTTTGTTGAAGTTCTGTTGATGTTTATGGATTTCAATGGCTTCCCTGTGCAGTCTAACGTAATGATTGCTGGTGTTGTCCAGTACTTCAGTATTTTGAAATAGAATTTCCTGTCCAGTTTGTTTTAGGGCATGTTCAACTACTGCCGATTTTTCCAGCTGTTTTAGTCTGCAGTGTCTCTCATTTTCTTTGATTCTTGTGTGAATGCTGCATTTTGTGGTTCCAATATATACCTGGCCACAACTGCAAGGTATGTGGTATACTCCTGCAGTGGTGAGGGGGTCCCTTTTGTCCTTTGCTGACCATAACATTTGTTGTATTTTTGTGGTGGGTCTGAATATTGTTTGTAGGTTGTGTTTTTTTCAAAAGTTTCCCCATGTGGTCCGTGACCCCTTTGATGTATGGCAGAAATACTTTATTTGTGGGTGGCTGTTTTTTCTCTTCAGTTTGGTGTTGTTTTCTTGGTTTGATGGCTCTTTTGATTTCATTTTTGGAATAGCCATTCACCTGTAGGGCCCAATTCAGATGGTTGAGTTTGGTGCTGAGAAATTGAGCTTCAGAGTTCTGAGGTGCACGGTCTACCAGTGTTTTGATTATGCCTCTTTTTTGTCATGGGTAGTGGTAGGAATTCCTTCGAGAATACAAATCATCATCAACTTTACTGGGAATTTGGGGAGGGATTTCAGGTAGCTTAGGCTACTTCTTTGGAAGGGCTTAATTTTATTTCAAATTCAAACCAATCAAACCTTTTTTTCCTGGAGGCTTTGTGTGTGTGTGTGTGTGTGTGTGTGTGTGTGTGTGTGTGTGTGTGTGTGTGTGTGTGTGTGTGTGTGTGTTGCGCGGGGGGGGGGGAGTGTCATCATGTGAGTG